AAAATCTCTTTTAGTGTAGAGTGATAATGGAGTTTCGAAATCTTTGAATTTTTTGCTCTTGTAACCATAAATTTATCTTTTTTCATCTTTTTCTTGTAAAAGGATTACGGACTAAAATTGTTCACTAGTATCTCTCTGTAATATTTTTTCCATCAAAAAGAATCTTTAAAGTGGGAAGTGACTTTACTTTTATCTTCAAGGCTTATACTCTATTTGTTTGAATCTGAGACCACGTGGGTGGTTCTTTCTTGAGCATCTGTCTGAGTGAATGTGTTAACTGTGCAAGGTCTGGAAAAAATTCACTCATGTAATTGACTATGCTGAGAAATTACTGGAGTTGCTTCTTGAAAAGATTTTCATTAGAAAAATCTGTAAATGACTGAGCAATGTGAGGTTGAGCAATATACTGACCATCTTTAAGATGCATGCCTAAGAAATTAATTTTTGTAGCACCAATGATCATCTTTTTTTTTAAAGCATTATCTCATACTGTTGAACAATTTGCTAGAACTTATCCAATAACTGTGCATGAGATGTGTCATCTGAAGAGAACAGTAAGATATTATCAATGTAAATCAAAGCATTATCAAGAATTGGAGCAAATATCTTGGTCATAACTTTCTGGAACATTGAATGAGTAATTTTTAATCCAAAAGGCATTACTGTCCATTGGAAATGGTGTTGAGGAATGCAAAATATCGTTTTGTATTTGTCCTGTGGATGTATACCTAGTTACCAAAATCTTGCTTTGAGATCAAACTTTGAGAAGACTTTTGCATTTGCCAAATTTGCAAACAAAGTTTTTCTATCTGGAAGAGAAAACTTATCATCTGCAAGAAAAATATTAAGAGGCTTGTAATTGATTACCAGTCTTAATTTTTCACGAACTTGTTCTGAACGTTTGTTGACATAAAACGCTTCACATACCCATGGAGAGGAGGTTGGTTCAATTAATCCTTGAGCCTGGAGAAGGGAGCATTCTTGAATTGCTTGCTTGAAATGATCTGGGTTCATACCTGAATGACTAGCTTTTGTAGGGTTGGCATTTTCATCTCATTTGAAGGGAAGGAAAATAAAAAATTCAGGGTTTTTTCAAAGTGGGTGGTCACATTTCTGGAGAAAATCTGAATGATTTTTTACATACGAAAAGTGAATAAACTTGTGTCTGAATTCTTGGAAAACATCTGGTTGAATGGTTAAGGTGAAAAGATTGGGAAAGTTTTTCCAAAGTCTAAAATAACTTTCAAACTTGATACCTTTTCCACTGAGCTTTAAACCTGGTATACTGGTAATGATATCAAAACCAATAACAAGGTCTTTTTAGGGAAGTGGAGATCCTAAAATCTTTTGAGTTATTTGACATCTTGAAAGGATTTGAAGGGTAACAGGGTTGCTGATAAAGTCTATAAAAAATACATTCTCATCAGCGGTTTTGAAGAAGGTTTTCTGTTTTTTCCAAAGGCTTTTGGGTAAGACAAGGGGGTTTGCTATGGTTTGGGTTGCACCGGTACCAAAAAAAGTTGTGACTGTTATAAGAGGGGAATGTTTATGAGGGAAGATCTGAACTGGAGCTACAGGCAATTATGGAGGTTGAAGTGTTTAGATTTTTTAAAATTCTTAGACTGACATATACTCATAACATTGATCATCTGTGAAATCATCTGAGTATTCTAAGTAATCTGAATCTGCATACTTATTATCATCAAACTGCTTGATCATAAATAGGGATCTTTCATTCTACTCATCATCAAGGAAAAAAATTGATTTAAGATCATCATCTGAGAGATTGATACCTAAGATATTAGCAATGTCTTGGATCATCTTGACTGACTTTTTGTCTGACTTTGGGCAATTCTTTGAAAAGTGTCCTGATTTTTCACAGAAAAAATATTTTGAGCTTTTGATCTTTGGATCTTTTTTCTTTCTTACAAATTTGAATATTTGAAATCTTCTGGGCTTATCAGTATATCTGAAGAACTTCTTACATCTGGGTTTAGAGAAAATTGGAGGTCTGGAAAGTTTGAATCTTCTGAAATGCTTCTTTTTGTTGTTGCTGCAAAAACATGTGGGATCTTTGGAAGAACATTTGATTTGAAGTCCTGAGGAGGAGTAAGAACATGGCTTTTCTAGCTTTTTGAAGTTGTGCACCAAGGTTTTGATGTATTTGTGCTCTTTGCAAATCTTATCAAGGGCTTTCAACATCATCTTGTAGATATCTCCAAGGGTCATAGATTTAACATTAAGAGATCTGAGGTTCAACTGGTCCTTGTTTGTTGTGCAAGTTTTTCTGGAACAGAATTGAGGAAGGCTTGCTTTAAGATAACATCATCGAATCCACCAAGTATGTAAAAATACTGAGAGAATTGTTGATAGTGTCTGTCAAGGTCTTTTGGATGGAGAAAACAACATTTGAGTTTAAAGAATTATTCTCTGATCTTTTTTAATTTGTGAGTTTCTTGTCCACAAAAGATTACTATAAATTGAGAGACAGCTTCTATGATTGTTGGGTATTGAAGAAACTGGAGTGGTCTGTATTTACCAATGTTGTCCCAAAAATTTTTTAGGGTTTCAACTAGTCTGGAAACAAATTTGATCAAAACTGTGTTCATCGTAACATTGGGATGAGAGTTTAATTCAACGAGTCCCCATGCTAAGAACTCTTGAAATCTTGAGGGCCATTTTGAAGGAGGAACATCATCAATGGTAAAAATTGAGAATTTTGATGTCGAAAGAGGAACATGTGATTGTTGTGGAGAAGAGTGTTGTTTAACATCCATTGCATCGGGGTTATGAACTTTTGGAGTATCATCTGAAACTTCAACTGTAGGTTCTGTCATGAAAATTTGAGGGAGCATCATTTCATCTGAGTCAACAGTATCATCTGCTTCAACTGATTCATCTAAGTTGACAGTATCCATGTGGGATTCAGTCTCAAAGGTAGAAGGAAAAATATCTTCAAGGGAAAATTGAGGGAGGTTGTCTTGTGCCATCTGGTGAAGTATTTCTTTTTGTGTAGGAGAAATCATAAGTTGTACAAGTTTTTGGTTTGGTTATGGTGTAGGGTTTTGCGGTGTGGAACTTGAGCTAGGTTTTGGTTTTGAAAGTTGAGAAAGTGGTTGTTCTGCTACTCTTTTAGGTTTTGGATCAACTGGTTGTTTTTCTCAAAATTTGTGAATCCATTTTTCAATTGTACCAAAGGGAGGTTGTTCTAGTTGGTCTGAGATAGGAGTGAAGTATTGTGTTGGTTGTGAAGATGTTGGGATTGATGTTTAGGGAGGTTTGTACTGAAAAGGTGTGAAAAAAGGTTTTGGAGGTGAAGTTGGAGGATTGTATGGTTGAAATAGATGAGGAGTATAGGCTTAGTAAGGAGTTTCATGCATACCAGTGTGATATAGTGTGAAGATGTTGTAACTGGAGGCTGCCTGTTGTTGTTGTTATTGTTTCTGACGAAACTGATTTTGAAGGTCGACAAGTTGAATCTTTAGGCTTTTCATTTCTTTCTCTCGTTCAGTGAAAGCATAAGTGAATCTAGTGTTGGTTTCAGCCATATATCTGAGTTTTTGATCAAGTGTGATTATCCTTGACTGAATTTCAAGAATAATATTTTGAAGATTGACAAGGCTCTGATCAAAATATTGACTAACTTGGTCAAACTTGTTTTCAATTCTGTGCAGGTATGAATTCTGCTAGAGAGAATTTTCAGTCTACCAGTTTAAAACTGCTTCAGCACGAGAAACACTTTTTTAGTTCCTATATTCATCTCTGTCAGTGGGAGTGGGGATTTTTGGAAGGTGTTTGTATGGTCTTTATGAAACTCTTGAAAAAGAGAGAAATCTGAGCTTGAGAAGGTTGGTTGCATCATTGAAATTTGTGGTAAAGGTTTTGATAAAGGTTGGGTGGAATCTGGTTTTTGTGTGGGTTGATTTGAGTAAGTTTGAAAGGGTGGTTTTATTAGTCATAATTAAAAAATATTTTTTATTTTAATTTTATATTAGGACAATAGCTGCCAATGAATTATAAGATTTTTTTTCTCTAATCTCTAACTAAAGTATAGTACAATTAAAACATTATCTGCATAATTCAAGTGTTATCCAAATACATCCCACAATGTAATTGAAAAGGAAAAAAACATTTGGATTCCATCATATTGGATTCCATCATAATGGAAGCAAACAAAAATTGGGCAGATGCGAATCTCAAAAACCTGATTGGTTTGTCAGCAAATTTTTATTTTCTTTTAAAAGGATAGATTTAATTAAGATGTACGAGTAAAATCCTTGACATAAAAAAATATTATCTTAAAATTAAGGGTTAATTATATTTTTGTACTTAAATTTTGAAAAAAAATCTATAAATTAATATCTAAAAAAATAAAATATATAATTTACATCATGGATTTTCAAATAATATATAATTTTAATTTAAATTCTAATATTATTAACTTAAGTTATCTATATATAGTATCTAATTAGTATAATTTTATTATATGTATGTTATTTATTAAATAAAAATATCAAATATTTTATAAAAATTTTCATGCAAATGTCACACCACAAAAATAATTGATTAAATAATTTTTACAATTCAAGTAAAAAAATATAAAATTTCAATTTATGTCAAAAAATAATTGATAGTATGTGTGGTAAACATATAACTTAATAATGTTAATTAAACGCGGTATATATAAGTTAGTATAATTAACGAGATTAGAATTTAAATTAATATCATACATAATTTGAAAGTTTATAATGCAAATTATACATTATTTAAAATTTGGGAAGCAAATTATATATTTTATTTTTTTAGATATTAATTTATATAATTTTTTAAAATTTAAATGCAAAAGATAATTTACTCTAAAATTAAATTAGAAAAAGAAGTGAGGAATATTTGGTGCCTTGTCCAATTAGACCATCTTTGGTGGACCATGACCATAGTTTCTTGGGCAACAAATTCTTAATTAATCCTTTTAAACAAATCAATGTTGTAGTCAAACAAGCTGTAATCATCAAGCACTATCACCATCAAATTAACAATTTTCTTTCCCTTTTCTTCAACGAATATCACCACAAGAAAAATTATATACACAAAAATTAGTATCGGAGAAAATAATCAAGTCAATCATACTGTTAACTGTTAGCAATTGTTTGGTAATTTCTCAATGACATATCTAAGTCAATGACCCTTCACAGGCTCTGCCTCTTTAGCCCATTCCACATATTTTACGCGCAAATCTGCTTCCTTCCAAGTCATTCCTTCACACCAACAAAAGGAAAAAGCAAAAATAAAATTCTTGAGGGTTTTTTTTTTTTGGGTGGTAAGCTATGAAGGGATCTTTTTCCAGCAGAGTAAAGATCTTCAGCTTTGTTTTAGCATGGATGTTTTTGCCAGGACTTGTTTTGTCAGCTGTAACTGAGGATGATATGAAGTGCCTGGAAGGTGTCAAAAATTCTCTACAAGACCCAGATGAGAAGTTAAGCTTGTGGACTTTCAATAACAATTCGGTTGGATTTATATGCAAGTTTGTTGGAGTTGTATGTTGGAACGAACGGGAAAACCGCCTGTTAAGTCTTGAACTTCGAGAAATGAATCTGTCAGGACAGTTACCTCAATCTTTAGAGTACTGTAAGAGTTTGCAGACTTTGGATCTGTCAGCTAACAAAATTTCTGGTACGATCCCTCCACAGATATGCACTTGGTTACCTTATTTAGTAGCCCTTGATCTGTCTAACAATGATCTGTCTGGTCCAATCCCTCCTGAATTATCGAAGTGTGCTTATTTGAATAATTTGATACTGTCAAATAATAGGCTTTCAGGGTCAATTCCATACCAATTATCCGGTTTAGTTAGGCTGAAGAAGTTTTCTGTAGCCAATAATGATCTGACAGGTGCTATTCCTTCAGCTTTTGAGAATCACGATAAGGCAGATTTTTCTGGGAATAGTCTTTGTGGGGGTCCTCTTAGGAAGTGTGGGGCTTTGAGTAAGAAGAATTTAGCAATTATAATTGCAGCTGGGGTTTTTGGTGCTGCAGCTTCAATGTTGTTGGGATTTGGGGTTTGGTGGTGGTATCATTTGAGATGGATAAGGAGGAGGAAGAAGGGGTATATTGGAGGTGATGACAGTAGTTGGGCTGAGAGGTTGAGGGCTCATAAGTTGACTCAAGTTTCATTGTTTCAGAAGCCACTTGTGAAAGTTAAGTTGGCTGATTTGATGGCTGCAACAAACAATTTCAATGCAGAGACCATCATAATTTCCACTAGGACGGGAACTACCTATAAGGCAGTGCTTCCTGATGGATCAGCCCTTGCAATCAAGAGGCTAACAACTTGCAAGCTTGGTGAGAAGCAATTTCGTTTGGAGATGAATAGATTAGGCCAGCTTAGGCATCCAAATTTGACACCCCTTTTGGGATTTTGTGTTGTGGAAGAGGAGAAGCTGATAGTTTATAAGCATATGTCCAATGGGACTCTGTATTCCTTGTTACATGGTAGTGTTGCTGCCGTAGATTGGCCAACTAGATTTAGGATTGGTTTGGGAGCAGCTAGGGGTCTAGCTTGGCTGCACCATGGGTGCCGGCCTCCATTTCTGCAGCAGAACATCTGCTCCAATGTGATTCTTATTGATGAGGACTCCGATGCTAGGATAATGGACTTTGGATTGACAAGGCTTATGACTGCCTCGGATGTTAATGAGACTAGTTTTATGAAAGGGGATTTAGGTGAATTTGGCTATGTAGCTCCAGAGTATTCAAGCACTATGGTTGCTTCACTTAAAGGGGATGTCTACGGATTTGGTGTGGTGCTTCTGGAGTTGGTAACTAGGCAAAAACCCCTAGAAGTTAATGCAGGTGAAGAAGGATTCAAGGGTAATTTGGTTGATTGGGTAAATCATCTCTCCAGCTCTGGTAGAATCAAGGATGCTATCGACAAGGCTCTTTGTGGAAAGGGGCATGATGAGGAAATTTTGCAGTTCCTCAAAATTGCATGTAATTGCATGGTTACTCGGCCAAAGGACAGATGGTCTATGTACCAGGTTTATCAGTCATTGAATAGCATGGCTGAGGAAAATGGTTTCTCCGAACAGTTCGATGATTTCCCTCTGATTTTCATCCAGCAAGATAATGAATCACTGTAACTTTAGAGTAAAATTGGGACCAAGTCTGCAAAATGGTGTGGTGCATGCAAAATTTCTACATCTTGTGGTAAATTCTCAAAGGCTTTTGATAATGATGATGCCAATCTCCATTTCAGTTGCTCTTTTATCTTTGCCATAAATAGTTGTATGATACAATAAACTTGTTGAACTGTAGGTTCTTAAATATTCAAGAAATCTACTTGTTTGCTCCTTGTTTTGCAGTGAAATCATATATGTACTGTTTAGCTTGTTAACAATTCGATATCTATAGTATCAAAGAGACTGTTATCTGGTTTGGGAGGAACTCAAAGTTCTTTTTCTTTTGTTTTCGGTATCAATCTTTTTTTAATGCAAGAGGAAAGAAAAAGGCCTTAATGCCATTGTATTACAAAAGCACTGTGAAAATCTTTTGTTTTAGTTATGATGTTTGTTTCTTCTGTTTTATCCTTTTTCCCATTTGATTTCTGTGGAGAATGGTGGTGATGTGAGCAGATACCCTTTGTCTGGTGCTGTAGCTGTTACTGATTTATTACATCATCACAGTAGTTTAATTGCCAGTGATGCCATAGATTGTTTTTATCTATAGCGACAATTGGCTGGTGACAAGGAATGTGCTGCATCGCATGATTAATGCTTGGAATTCACTGTTGGCAGACCAACAAGTTGATTATTTATGTCCCCCAAATGCTTTTCTGCTGGAAATCCTAAGCTTTAAATTGGTCAAATATGCACTCCACAGGATCTTAATCAAATGTTCAGACAAATTTTAGTTGATGCTAATTGAAAACAGCATATCAGCATAAGGGCAACATGTACAGTATTTTCTTTGAATTCTAGTCACTGCCTTTGATTCATTGTTGATAATTTGAGAACATTAGCATTTGTTTTTGGTTCTGGTGGTGGTGGTTTTGGATTTTCCTTTAGTTTCTTTTGTCTGTGTGGGTGTGTCCTGAGGAAGGGGGCCGAGGGAGGTGGTGGGAGTGGGGGTGTTGCTCAGGCAGTCAGGCAACTTTTGCTGTATTATCTGCTTTCTCATGTTGGAAAGACCCAATCCACTTTTCTGAATCAAGCTCATAATTCCATACTAGTCTTCTCAGACTGTTATCCATAGAATAGAGGAGATTTATCCGTCAAAATCCATCTTTTTGAGTAGAAGTTCATAGCATTCCATGATTTTCTGCAAAAACAAGAAATTCATTGGAATGGAGAACAGAGGAACAATTTCTGTGTTGATATGTAGCTGTAGTTACATTGCCAATGTCCATGCCTTAGATCCTCTATGGATGGAAAATCTATAATGACATGAAAGAAACATCCAACCAGATTTTGAAGTTGAAACACTCAATCCATCAATACTGTAAATACTGTAACATGGATCCATGTGTCCAAACTCAAAGGCTTTTAATAAGTTTCTTTTTCAGGCAGGCAAAGGCATTCACCACCACCACCTTGGCCTTCACAAGCATAAGCTATTCAAATACACATATTGATCAAAATGAAATTGCTTCATTCACCCAATGCCTGCTTACTTATCTTCTAACCAACCACCAATCTCAATGCTTAAACACAAAGCTGGAGGTCAAATTATAGACTGGAAGTTTATTTCAATTTCCAATGAACTTCCTCAATGACAAACTAAACATGAAGAAGTTTTTTGAACCATGGGGCAGTCATTTTGTTACACAAATAGGGAGTGCTTAAATTTTCCCATCTTTGAATCAAAAGATTAAAGAAACTGCAGGAGAAAGGAATATGTCTCCCATTACATGCAACAGAAACTTCCCTAATTTGAATCTCAGTTACTTTGGACCAAGTCTTTGCTTCTCGAACCATTCAAAATCAAACCAGAAAAAGAAGCAAAAGGTGAAAAAAAAAAAAGCAATGACCAGAGATTGCTTCTTGCTTTGTTTTTCACTTTGGAGAGATACCATTAAATGATCATATATAGTAATATCATTTTGCTTTTTTCTTAGTCCCATCACAATGAAAAGAAACCCAAAAAAATTTACAAAGTTTTTAATGACATTAAAGAATCTTACTTCTTTTTCCGTAATCAAAATTCAAACAAAAAGATATGTATTGATTAACAATGGATTTGCTGTTGGGGTTAATTCAGGTCATGATCAACTCAAGAAATTGGACTTTTAAAACTTGTCTCCATATCAATACTTGTGTTAAGCTACTATTCTTTAACTCTAAATAAATGATCATGAATCATGCAATGATTTCATTGTTCTTTGTCTCTAATCATGTCGGGTAACATTATGTTAAATGCGTTTTTCTTTATAGTTCCATTAATGATGACTTTGGCATTAAGTGGACAACCCTTTGATAATCAAGTCAGAACATGCTTGTTTCAACTGGAACTGTAGTAAAAAGTATAGTTGAAGTAGATGTTTTACACCCAATGTTTGTCAGGTTGTGGTTATCTAAATCTCTGTCCAAGAATTTTGCTAATTGATATGTTCATTCCATTCCCTTCTTATTGAAGCTTTTTTCAAAAGCAAGATTATCAAAAATGTCTATAAAACTAATGTTAAGACTATCTCAGGTCCTAATATCACTTTCCTAACAGCATTTTGTGTTTGGTTTTAGTTGGATTGAGTAAATTTTATGCATTTTCTATTTTGTATCAAATATGTGTAAAATATGAAAGTTGTTACCTCACAATTATTATCAACATGCCAATCACAATTTTTTTTTTAATTTTTATTTGTATAGTTTTTGTTAAAATTTAAATTGCATCACTTTTATATATTTTTTTCGTAATGTATCATTACGGCATTATGGCGTATTTATAATTAATTACCTAACCTCTACTGAAGTATCTTGATTTAATAAGCACTACATGATAGAATCATAAACTAGCTACTTGCCATATTTTAAAGAATTCAAGGAAAAAAAAATTGTTTTGAGAAGTGAGCAACTTTAGTTATTGGCTTTTGCTTTATTCAGCTGGGAAGATGGACAAAAGGAAACATGAGAGAAGAAATAGAAAACCCCAAAAAAGAAGATATGGCTGATTAATTTACGTTACAAAGCTACACATCATGTACGGAGACAACATCTCTTTATTGGAATTTGCTCCAATATTTTCTTAGCAGTGTAAATGTTTTTTTTTTTTTTTTGGGCTTGGCCTGGTTTTTTGTCATTGTTAAACAAAAACCTATCCATGAATCTCCTTCTCTTAAAAGAATTAAGCAAGGAAAAGCAGAAATGCTGGTGGGACACCTTCAAAAGTTCAATCTTTTTCTCATAGCTGTTGTGTACTTGATGCTAGTGCAAGAGAAGGCACTTACTTTCTTGATATGCATGAAGAAAATTTTCATGCGTGTATATATCTGTTGAACTTTTTGTTTTAATAAGCAGGGTTCAATCTTGACAATCTCGAGTATAAAAAAATTCAGTGCAAAACTTTTTAATGAATTCTGAGAGTGGCAAACCATGAACACTAGCAAGAAAATTTTTCAGAAAATTTAAAGTACAATGTTTATGATCTCCCTGTTGGAAGAAGCATACAAAAATGAAAAAGTTTAAACAAATTTCTCCACCAAGATCATCTGCAGGAGCTCGAGCAGTTTCATTGCCTTTCACACCTAGGCTCGTCCTGGAGGTTGTCCAGACTTTGCTGCTCTCCTGAACATATAATTACAAGAAAAATATTCATTTATGTAAGCCTGAGTGCTTTTTTTTTTTGAATGAAAAGATTTTTTTCCAAGAACTTTACCATTTCCAGGAACTTTCTGATAAAATTCAAAGTATATACTGGTTTGAATTTCATTGTAAAGGAAAGGAGCTGTTAAATGCATCTTTCTTCCACATAGCTAAAGTGGGTTAGTACTTCTCCCAATGTCTTTATTTGTTTCTTATCAAAATAAGAGAAAGATTGGTTTAAAGAAGCTTTTGTAAAGAATAACACCATCACCAGCTTTCATGCATTTGAAATATGAATTAATGGTATCTTTTTTGCATATCTGGATTATTATATCAAAAGGGAACCAATGTACATCTCATCTCCCTATCTCTGTCTATAACACCACCTTCCTTCCCAAAAGCAAAATACAAAACTGAAATAGCATATATCAGTATCTAGATCATACATGAAAAATTAGAGTCAGACTAGAAACTATTTGTGTGAGCATCACCTTTTCAGTCTCTTATTGAATTCAAGCCACAAAAGATATTAATTTATCATGCCTGGTCATCGATAAGTGTGGATGGAGGAAAGGCCAGTGGTCAAGTCAAGAAGAAAATATGCATATACATGTTATCGGAGACAGGAATATGTAATGTACCTGTTGTGAATGGGATCAGGTCCATTAGGAACTCGTCTCTTGCTGACATAATTGAGATGGAAATCCTGATGAGAATTACGCCTCTCTTGTGCAACAAACTCCCAATGTTTGGAATCTCTAGTTGAGGAAACCAAAATTGATTTTGTCATCGCGGTTGCATGGTTTTTTATGATGCCTACAAACAATAACCAAATAACTCCCACAAGCACTGTAACTCCAAACAGAAACCTCAAAGCTCTACCACTCCTCCCCATATCTTTCTGCTGTTTCTACGAGTTTTCACCAAAGAATTGCAGGCCTTTAAACAGAGAACTCAGAGCAACCATGTCGATTTTTAAGGGAGGAAAATGCATGTGGAACACTCAGAAGTGAAAAGAAAGGAGAAAGGAAAGAAAGGGAAAGCAGAGGATCAAGACAAAGTGGTTTAGGTGATTTTCAACTTGGCGGGTAAGAAGTCATTTGTGCTATTTAAAGATGTAAGATTGAAGCAACACTGTGTTTTGGGAGAGGAGAGAGAGGAACATGACGAATAAAAGAAAAGTTCGTTGCCCTTGTTGCTTTATATATTGAAATGGGCCCATGGGACTTCTCTTTCTTTGCTTTGGTTTGTGCATTTTCATGCAGCAAGCAGGCAAGCATAGGAGACCTCACTATCTCTCCCAACTCTAATGTGTTCCAAGCTTGTAAAAGACATAGGGGCTTGTGCCTGTTATAGCAAAATAATATTCTGTTGTGCCCAATCTAATGTATTCAAAAGGGTTGCCTCTTGGCAAACTAACACATACGATAAGGTTTCCATCAATCAGCCCTTGAAAAGAGGAATTCGAAAGCGAAAGGCACAAAACTAAGCAGACAACTGCCTTGGCTGGAGTTGCAGTTTTCTTACCCTACAAGTACCTCATCCCATTTCTCCTAGTCAGTTTTAACAAAGTATGAGGCATCAAAATTGTATGCAATCCAGGAAATGTATGTATATGTATAATATATAACTATATGCTCCGGGCAAAGTAACAAACCATCCTGCAATGCCTTTAAATTAGTTTTATGCAGTAAGCAGGTCTTCAGAGTCCCACCTGATACAGTACAATGACTAAAGAAACAAGAAAAGAAACTGGTAATTAGAGAATTCTGATGTTTTATTAAGTCTTTTCAAGAATCTAAATTTGGACTATAAGGACATCATGTTCCCTACTTTGCTGCAATGGGATGCCAGTCACATTGAAAAGCAACATAGCCCATTTATCATAAAAGTTTATGTTATCCACATAGCCAAAAAGAAGAAAAATTATCAAGTTTATGCACCCTTTTGATTTTCGTAACTCTATCTACCATTCAACAAAATTTCAGAAACATAAAAGGGGAGAAATCAGAAGAAGAAAGAACTACATTTCTTAAGCACACTACTGAAAAAGGAAAGATTCTCTTTATCAGATAATGAGCAAGATTCAGTCCTACGCAATGAATCTGACATACTTTGAGAACTTTTAATAAGGAGATTCATATAACAATATAAGCAAAAGGGAAGAACAGATTATTGGGAAAAAAATCACAGGGTAACAACAGACAAGCTGTTGATAATTCTACATGAATGCATAGTTTAATCAGTCAGCATTGAAACTTAAAAGTTAAACCACAACCTAGTGCATGACATCAAAGTAGTTCCATTACT